TATAGGGGAAAGATCAAGTACAAAGTGTGCTTATTGTGCAAATATTTGTACGATGCACCTTGACGTTATTTGAATTGCATATTGAGGTTCAAAGTGTTGCACATTATAAAGTCATAAAAATAACAGTTGCACATTAAGGTGCAACGAGTTGCACCCTAAAAAGTTGGATTCTATTACAAAAATGCCACCTTGCCTTTATGTCCTTTGGATCAACTCATCGGACGGTCAAGATGAGTTTGTACTTTGTAAATTAAGAAGGCTTTGTATTTGATCTCTATTATATATATATATATATATATATATATATATATATATATATATATATATATATATATATATATATATACATATATATACATACACATATATATATGACATACGATTATATATAAAATCATATATAAAATTATATGACCCAAATGACCCAAATATACATGCATGTGTCACACGGACACACACAAAAAATCAAGCTTCCATATGAACAAACATGAATATACATGAGCACACACGTATGGTTCAATTCATGCGTATAACATGGAAATCATGTTAAACATACACACATATATATTTATAATATACGAATCATATATATGTGATGTGATGAACACATATATGAACATGTATATACCGAATGTTCATATAAATTTCATGATGTTCATACAACAAATAGGCAGAGATTAAACAGGCTCTGATGCCAAATGTTAGCCTAAAATTCATATAAATGCAGCGGAAATAATAGGATCGCTAACCTCCAGCCATATTGTTGATGAACGGTCGAAGAACGTAGAAGAACACCGGAAAGCCTTTTCGTCTCCCACTTCACTCCTCACTCTAAATGGTGTATATTGCTTAGAGCCTAATTAGCTATATGGAGCTAAGCATGCGTGTGAATGTATGTTGTGATGGAGGAGTGAGAGGACCATGGAGCACTTATATAGCCACCTACCATCAAGGTGGCTCTTGTAACGGAAACCGTTACAAATATCCGCCATCATTGCACCACACTTATGGGACATTATTATTTGATTAATTCAAAATAATTCAAATAATGTTACAGATTTATCTTTATTTCTTTTGTGCGTAGAAACTTAGTATAAAAGCTGAGTGATGTTTCAATGCTTCCTTACAAATAACAAATACTTGCTTTTTGTAAAATAAACTCATAAGAAATTTATAATGTGATAAAAATTTCATGTAAATTTACTTTCCTGCAAGTTGGTCCTTTGTTTAATTGTTTTTGTGCTAAGAGAAGACTGAGTTTGATTTCGGATGCTTTAACTGGAAAAACAGAATTTCAGCTGGCTGCCAAGTTTTCAGCATACTGCTGAATTCTTGTGTTTCAGTTGGCTTCCTTTTCAATAAATATCAGTTAACTCTTTTTCGTACCTTTTTCTTTTTGATTCTTTTCGTTTTGTTTTATAGTACGTTTCTTCTCTTTTTAGTACTCTTTGCTTTTCATGAGTACTTTATGACTAAAATAGGAGCACATTACAATAAACAAAATAGAACTAATACAAGAGATACTAGTCTAATACAAGGATAATAAAAAGGGATGACATCATCAAAACGATACATATTAATCATCAAAATCTAGGGTACCTAACAAGATTAATTAAAGATTGATCTTGAAGTCAAAGGAGCTCAAGGATCAAGTACGAGATCAAACGGGGATGAATAGAGCTTCAAAATGGCAATCAAGATGACGTTATGTCAGTCGTTCAAGCATATTTCTTTGTAGAAACAGCCAAAGTACATGTTTCAAATTCCATATGAAAGATAACTTCAAGGCATACAAATCATATGAAGACACCATGACGAGAATCTGAGAGGAAGTCAGATAATCTTAGCTTTGTTGAGATTACATGATGCGACTTTCCACTATTTTATTCATATCATTTGATTGGATGATCCAATATAAGTTTTTTAAGTTGTGGTGGATAGATTACTTCATTATCTACAACTCCGGTGAAGGAAGCATAGTCCAGATTAGAAGGGAAAGATGCACACCGTGCGCCCGTAGTAAGCATGTCGTGCGTGGAAGAAGAAATCACACAAGAGCTACTAGAGGTCAGGCATGCCGTGCCCGACACTTTTTTTTAGAGTTTTGTGCTCCGGAGGTATGGATGCCAGACATGTCATGCCTGGGTACCGTGCCTTACCCCATGTGTCCTTTTTCAGGCAGAATTGCCCCTTTTCTATTTAAATAACCTGTAAACCCCTGTTTTTGGTAACGGAGTGAGAGAGAGGCCTATGACGAATTTTGTGTATTTTTCCATTTTGTTCTTCAAGACTCTGAGATTATTTGTAAGTTCCATCTTTTTAATTAATGACATTTAATTGTTTTCATTTCAATTCTGTTGATTGCTCAATTATGAATTGTGAGTAGGTTTAATAAGGGATTTGGGATTGATGAATGAGTTAATCATGATTTAAGGTTATTTTCTAGATGGAATAATTGCATGACCTTTATTTAATTTGTGTTTGAGTAATTTAAATGATATCTTTTGTAACCTAGAATTGCAGCTAGGATTATAATTGCACATATAATAAATTAAGAGATATCTAATTTATTTCTAGGACAGTTTCACACACACTTAATCGCTTGCTAAGAGATTAGTAACAGTTAGGGAGCCGTACGCTCGCTCATTTTGACAATAATTTAGATACATGTCACATGAGAGATCAGTCTAGTTCCCTAAATTATTGTACTCTACGCCGCGAGAGCGGTTAGAAATTAGTATTGATTATCGTTGCTCAATTAAATAATTTTCATGAGATCAAGCCTAATCAGCCAGAAATGTGATTACCCCGGAATTAATCAATGCTTCCTTACGCCATTAATAGAAAGAGCCTTTTAGATTTATTGCTTTTTTCGCATGTTAATTTTCCTGAAAATCCATTCTCGCACATGTTTTTTTTATTTTAATCACTGAACTTATTTAATACTTAATTCCCCTTTTCCGCCCCTGTGGAAACGATACTCGTACCTATATCCTATACTGATACATATTCTTGGTGCGAGAAAACTCAAATAAATTTTTGGCACTGTTGTTGGGGACGGTGTCAGTTTTAAGGGTTAATTAATTTCAGCGACTGTTTGAGTTTTTCGTAGGATTTTTTGTCTTCTAACCGTGCAGGGTAGATTTGTTTATGCATATAGGCTCTAAGAGGGGAGAACCACTTGTCCCTCTTAATCTCGAGATAGAAAAGCTCACCAGACAGAATAGTAAGGCTCTACGAGAGCAAAGAGTATCTATGGACCAATCTTCATCTGGAACCATCGGGACACCTGAAGTCTCCATCACCACCACCAAGCCCGATTTCTACATCAGCACCTCACCACAATCTACCCGGCCAATTTCTCCCAGAAACCATCCTTCAGGTTTCCAAAATTCATGCCCTCCTCCCCTATTTCCCCAAAATCAATCAACACCCCAATTCAACCTTCCTCCACTATATCATCTTTTCTAAAATACTTCTACTACTCCTGAAACCACTTCCCAAAATCCAATTTTCGCAATGCAAGGAGTAGGTCAGAACACTCCCAACCCAAATTTCCAGAACCCGTTCTAAAACCAGCAACCTTACTAGAATCCTTTCCAAAACCAATATCAACATCAACCCAGAGTATTGCCTGTTCAATCACGACCAGCTTTCCATCCTAGAAAACAAGCCTCTCCAGCTAATGTTTATGTCGCGCACGACAACCCTCTCTACCAAAGGTAGACCACTGCAGAGTTCCTCACGCCAGAGATTTCTGAGTATGACAACATTCAAGTGCCATGAATTACTGCTCACCACTACGAGATCAAGCCAGCAGTGATTAGTATGATCTCAAACTACCAATTCAGAGGAGATCCGACTAAAGATCCTGTGGCACGCATTACCCGATTTTTGAGGATGTGTCAGACTTTCAGAATCCCTAGAGTAGCTGTTAATCAGGTGCAGATGATGCTTTTCCCATTCTCACTGAGGGATGATGCGCAAAGATTGTTGGAAAACAATCAACACCACCCTCTCCAAACTTGGGACCAGCTGCATAGTGCCTTTAAAGTTTATAATGGAAGATGCATATAAGTAGGTGGCATCCTTATCTTTTAAATTACCTGCGGAGAAGATGGAACTGTTAAAGCCATTATGGAATAAGGGAGTGTTTGCAACATCTTCTGCTTAAAAAAGCACTTTTGGAGTGATTTGGAAAAAGAAATTAGTAGTAAAAGTTGATAGTGTTTGAGAAATAAGTGATTTTGAAAAGTAAAAGTTGGTAGTGTTTGGTAAAATAAGTGTTTTTTGTGTAATAGAAAAGGGAAAAACATTTTTCACACGAAAGCTGAGAAAAGTAAAAATTGGTAGTGTTTGGTAAATAAGTGCTTTTTAAGCCAAAAGTCGAGAAGTGCTTTTTTAAGCTGTTGCAAACCAACCCTAAGAATGCATCTACTCTTGAGCTTATTGAGATGACCAACCATTCGGGAATAGTAGACATTTATGTGGAGCAAGGTATTGATGAGGTTGAAGTGCTTTCATGATGTGCTTTGCCTCCTAAATCTCTTGAGGAAGTAGTACACACAGAATAGGGAGTTCAAGCGGACCAAGCTTGTGATAATGTAGAAGAAAATAATACTGAATTAAACAAGGAAAAATAATATAATAAAAACGAAGTGGAAAAGGATCTTTCACAATTAGGCCATAATAATACTTCTGCTGAGGAGCAAGATTAGGGGAATGATGATGACTCAAGAGAGAAGTAGATGGCATGGGTAAAAAATAAAATACAAGGAGTTGGCGTGCATTCATATCTGAATGGTGAGGAATAAGGCAGCGAGTATTTTGAATCAGATGAGCCCCCAAGCTATTATTTTGAATATGAACATATAATTACAATGTCAAGGGTTACGAGGTCCAATCTAAAGTCCGAGTGAAGCGAAATTTTCCTTCATATAATCCAACCTCAGAATCCAAAGACCTAGAGTAGGAGATGTTATTTGAAGATGACATCCAATTCAAACAACCCTGATTAATTACCCAGTACGTGCAGTATGAGAGGGATATTAGGTGGGTTAAGAATATAGGTGTGCACAAACTGGTTCAAACCGGAAAATCGGACAGAATTAACTTATTGAATATAGTAATCTTTTTAATATGTAATATATATTGTCCTAATGTGTATTTATCTATTTATTATTATTTTCTTGGTAATAGAATTAACTAATATTTTTTTTATTATCCTGGAAGGCAAACCACCAAAATCGGTGGGGTAAATGCCGGGGAACATTTACCATGTTTTATTAAGAATAATAAAAAGAATACATATGAAGAGAGGAACTAGACCAAAACCTCCCCCCAGAGAAGGCATTCCTTCCCAAAGTACATGACAGTAGAACAAAACATAAGGGGAAAAAATACTTTGGGGGGGGGGGGGGGGGGGGTAGACCTGACTCAAAGCTACAAGAAAAAATCAACAAAATCTAAAATAAGAAAGACCTAACTAATCAGCAATCAAATAACATCTGATATAACCCAGAATCTGTCTGATAGAATCAATAATAAGAAAGTCATTTGCATAGTGTTTAGACTTAAAGTGTCCTAGGCCAGTTAACTTCGCGAAAATTATGTCCGAACCTTATCTCATCCTCGACCATCCACCTTCTTAACTACAACACCATCGTCCTCCATCTTCCGGCCTGAGATGTATCACAGATGACTCCAATCGCCTGAAATGAGTCAGACTCCACCTCAAAAGATCGATATCCATTATCAACTAACCAAGATACCGATCTGTAAATCGCTAAAATCTCTACCTCTAGAGCCAACGTTGCTGAGATAGAGAAATGAAGAGCAAAAAGGAAATCCCCTGACCTGGATCACATCACTGCTCCTCCTGCCGCTCTACCATCAGCAAAAGAAGCATCCACATTGAGCTTGAAATCTAAATCAGGTAACTTTCATCTAAAAATCTGAATAGTCGGTTTGGCTGCCTTGAATTTTTGAGCAAAAGATGTTCTTCATAGAGAATCGGTTCAGGAAAACCAATCTTAAGCTTTGAAAGTTTCGTCTCAGTCTATTCCTGACTGAAATTTTTAATTTGTTATATAACGAGCCTATAATCTGGGATATTATTGGAATCACCCCAATTAATATTACATTAAACCTTCCATATGTGCCATGTTATAATACCTGGGATGTTGTGTTTGTAAATGTCCATTATCATTTTAGTTCCTGCCTCCAACCACCAGGAGATTAAAAGCTGCCTAGTTGTAGTACCTGTAGGCTTAGGTGCCCCAAAAATGCCTAAAAAGTAGTTCCAAATTTGCATACTGTAAGAACACAAAGAGAATATGATCCATCCTTTTAGATTCTTTGTTGCAAAATGGACATATAGTAGGAAAGAGAGTAATCCTAAATATGTTCAAGTTGTCTGGAAATGGCAAGATTCTATTAAGCATTTTCCATTGAAATAATTGTATCTTGCTATGTTGATATTTGTTCCAGGCATGAGAGAATGAGAAGATATCGTTCTTTCTTCTTCTAACGATATGAAAGGCAGATGATAGAGTGAAGATTCCATTCTGCTCAGGTAGCCAAACAAACTCTCCCTCTTGATTTTGAGAACTGAATGTGGTGCGTACTGGATGACTCTTACAATTTTTTTTTCAAACAGCTGAGTCCGTAGCCTTAGGAACCATGTCATTTCCCCTCGAGTATCTTGAATGACAGAACTTAGCCCAATTAGAACTATTACACCTCCATTTCCACCAGAGCTTCAGGGAGTATGCTAATTCAATATTTCTGAGTAGTCGAATTCCTAGGCCACCTTAAGAAGTAGGCAAACAAACATCACTCCATCTAATCCAATTATATTTAGGCTTGCTTTTATTAGTACCCCATAAAAAGTGAGCCATTTTTGCTCCAGAATACTCACCATAGATTTTGGTAAGGAATCAACTGCTATAATATGTAAAGGGATAGTGTTCAGAACACGCTTGATCGAGATAATCCTCCCTCCCTGATTAAGGTATATTTGTTTCCAAATAGTCAGCTTCTTATCAAAAGTCTGAGTGATGTCTGTGCAGTAACTCTTTCTATTTGTTCCTCTATGCAGAGTAGCTCCCAAATATTTCATTGGCAAGCTAACTTTGGTCATACCTAAGAGTCTCTCCATTCTCCTGATTCTAGCCAGGGAAGTTTTCCCACATCCAAAACTGCTTTTATTAAAGTTAATAGCCTGCCCTAATGCCCTTTGGTATAACCCAATAATCTTTTTAAATGGGGATCCATTCAGAATTTTAACTAATACTACGTATTTAGTTATTTACTATTCTACACTCAAAATGCTTCAATCTTTGTTCTATAAGACTAATAAAAGTAAATAAATAAATACTACTCCGTAATAATTATTGGTAACAAATACCCCATTTCATTTAAACAAATTACTTGTATTTTTTTAGTATATTGAATTATACTCCCTCCGTCCCAAATTGTAAGATACTTTACGGTTTACTATGTTTGACTGACGATAAAGCAAATTGATCCCTGTCAACACTCAAATTAGTTTTAGAAAATAAAATTTACATATTCAGAAACTACAATAAAACCGCTACAAAGCCTGCAAAAAATAATTCAAATTTCATAAATTTTTGATATATAAAGTAAAAGATTGAGAGTGATTTATGTTGACCAAGTGAATAGTAAATGTATCTTACAATTTGGGACTGAGGGAGTAATAATATAGACATCGGTTCTTCCGGTCCAGTTCCGATTTTGAACTAGTAAAATCAGTTCGATTCCGGATCAAACCCGGAATGTATCAAGTCCGGTTTTCAGTTTCTATTTTGTTTTGCGAGTCCGGTTCCGGGTGTGGTTCGATGTTGAACTGGAGCATACCCCTAGTTAAGAATGAGGCTATTAGACTCCAAGCAACATGTGCAAGTAACTATCCTTTTAAGTGCATTGCGCCGTGGGAAAAAAATATAGATATATCCAGTTGAATAGTTGGATATTGACTCATAGATGCAATGAGAAGTTCAAGTTGAAGCTGGTTAATAAAAAATGGCTAGAATTTTTTCTGCATACACACAACTATTGTCTGTGCACATCTATTTTTAGCTGATTTTTTATTTTTACATATACAATATTGGTATCAAATGAAATATCATAAAAAAAATAAAAATATTGATATATTTGACAAAATTGAAACAAAAATGAAAAAGTTATAACAATTGCAAAATTTGAAAGCAATGCCATGCCAATATGCCATACATGCATGTGAGTCATGTGACAGCCCAATTGGAGTCTGGTAACTGTAATTGGTGAGTCCGATAACTGTAATTGGTTGACTCAGGTAACTGTAACTGATTAGTGAGATATCTGTAACTGATTAGATCAAGTAAATGTAACTGATCATTGTGTTCCTCATATTTAGTCTTATTTTTTGGAAATTAAAAGAAAATGTAACTTTTTGTCTAATTGTTATTTTTGTGTAATATAGTTGTCTTAATGCGTAAAATCAATCCATTTAAAAATATCTTTGGTCCGTAAAGTGTTAGGTGTTTTGATTCTCAAATTTACCGAGAATTTAATAGTTGTCAGATTACAAAGTATTTTTTTGTTAATATGTTTTTGTCTCGTATTTATTCAAAAATATTTGAGTAAAACATATCGTTTCCATGCAAAATACGAAGCAATTAACAATTTGTTACACTCCCATAGCCCCATGATAAAAAAAAACAAATTATATTAATTGCAAGAGCTTGTATAATACTTCGCACTACATACGAAATAACAAGTATAAAACCTGGAGTTACAGTAACATCCAAGCCGTCTTAGCTCAGCTGGTAGAGCGCGTGGCTTTTAACCACGTGGTCGTGGGTTCGATTCCCACAGACGGCGATACTTTCATATAAATCATCCCTAGTGTCGTTTTCCATTGTTTTTGGTTCACACAACATTTTTATTGTGTACTCTATGTTTTGACTCTGACTTGAAGACTTCCAAGGAAGATAGCGCCAAAACCTTCCGTACAGAGTAATGCTAGCAGCATTTATTACATTTGATTTTTCAATAGTATTTGTACCTGTGCCGTGCACGGGATCAAGTGATTTTTTTAGAATCACATAGTATATATATACATCAACATTCTATAATGTGTGCATGTTATAGAATTGTCTTTTACACATAGCCTAGCTTATTTATCTAGCTCTTAAACACCACTTTTAACATCATGATGCGAATGATATATATGTAGTTAAAGCTGTTTTCAGAGATCTGAAATTCTTGACGCAAATTTATTAAGATTTATGTTAATATTTAATATATAGACCAAAGTAAAAAACAACTTTTGCTTTCATAGACCCGATCAAATAATTGATTCCAATTCAAAATATCTTTAATTAAAAAGGTGAACTCAAACTTGAGATAACACTAAGGTAGATAGTATTTAGCAAATTTTAGCAAACTTAATGATTATTTCTTTAAGAAAAGAGTATAGAATATATAATTTTGTGACATTTCGGTTGTACTAAAGGTGATGACGGTGAAGATAGGCTGCATATAATATTATGATTGGAACTGATCAATTTATTTTTCATTAGATTGAGTCATTGAAGATAATAAGATCTTATTACATAAAATAACAGTTATTGAAAGAAGAAATGTTGCATTCTTTAGATTTTTAATAGACAATATCTAAAAGATCAGATAAGATGAATAAAATCTATAAAAAGATTCTTATCATATCAAGAGGTAGCTATAATCAAAACATAAACCTGTGAAATCATCAAGTATTAAATATATAACAGCTACAAAATAACATCACAGTTATCATCAATGATCGCCATCATATTATATAATCATCAAAATTATTTCGTAGAATACACTCAAATTACCATATTTATCTATTATGAAAATAATTGTGTAGTTTTGTAATGAGAACCTTTGAACGGGACATAAGTAGTATGTAATTAATAAAACTTTTCAAGAGATGAAACTCTCGGTCAAAATATATCAAAATTATATTAATATATACACTAAAATAAAAAATAACTTGTACTTTCATAAATGAGATAAAAATTGATTCCAATTGTAATTTGTAAATATCATTAATTACAAAGTTGAATACAAATTTGAGATACCATTCAGGGAAAATGTGTATTTACCCATTTTTAACATATGCAGTCTTGCTATTTTAATTTTTTCTACTTTCATTTAATGATGTTACACTCTTTTTCCCATTTTAGGAATTTATAATTTGAAAAGTGAGAGATAATATTTTTGAGCATTCTTTGTAATGTATATATGGTGTGATATTATGATTAATAAAAAGCTATTATAAATTAACGTAAGTTACATGTATTCAAAATGTAAACCAAGTATCATTGTTTTGAAAATATTAATTTTTAATACAATTTTTTTAATACAATTTAAATATGTATGAATATTAATATTTTTATTTTGAAAGTCAAATTTTCAGATATTTGATAAGAAAGTTGCATATATCTATGGATAAAAATAATATGTCATTCTATTCTATATTTCTAATTAAGATAATTGAGTATGAATAGTGTCTATATAATTGATATGTTACTCACATAGTGATAGATTATTTATTCTAGAGAGAAGTGAGAGCTAGAGAGATAAAGTGATGTGTAAATGAATTCCCAATCAATCATTCAACCATCCCCTACATGGCTCCCATAGGGAGTATTTATAGGAGAAAAGAGGGCTGGGCTTCCAGGCTTGGGCCTGGCTGGCCCAGTTACAATAAAAGGCCAATAAATGGCTAATAAATGGTATCTAATCTATTCTAATGGATATACATGAATAAAATAGAGTGTACAATGAGATAAATGTTATCTACTGAGCGTATGTGGGCCGCTGTCCGGGCCCAATAGTCGTGAGACCCGGGGGTCCGAGTCTATATACTCTATCAGGAGTCCCCCACTCTCTGAGTCGAGAGTACTCGAGGCGAAAGAGAGTAGAACTGTGTGCTGATCTGTCGTCGTCCGGTGAGTAAACTGCTGTCATCGCCGAAGCGCCTCGCCCGGATTCCCATGCCGATGATCCTGTCCCATTGGCGAGCCTTGACTGAGGCAACCCTGTGAGAGAATCCTCAGCCGAAGGTCGCCGGGGAGCTATGTATATGTGCTGGCCGATGTGGCAGCTGAATATGTATGTGATATGATGATGTCGTCGGTGCGAGTGGCAATCCTTGCAAAAATTTTGAATTTCTGCTTCTTTGGTAGCGAAGGCGCTAAGTCCCCCGCTCTCCCAGTCCCCCACTCCTTGAGGCGAGTGTAACGAGGTGAAGAGGAGTAGAGTAATGCATGTCTGATGATGTCTTCAACGGGGGCCGAGGGTTGACACCTTTTGATCCATAATGGGGAGATGCCTCGTTAAAAACCTCATTAGGAAAAACCCTGTGGGAAAAAATCCTAATGAGGGAAAAAGAGTACACCGGATGCCCCCAAAACGAAGCAAAAGGTGCGCACCCTTCGGCCTAGAGGTGGAGCCGCAGCGGTGTGCGTCTGCCGAGGGGATGGCAGAGGCCGATCCATAGATGTGGGTAGCTCGTCATGATCAGTAGTCCTAGTCATCAAATAAAGATGACTAAGGGATGGGACGAGCGACCGTCCATAATATGATGTCTGGTTCATCAAATAAAGATGACCAGAATATGAGGCCGATGGGCCGATGTGAGCTCCACGTCATCAAATAAAGATGACTGGGAGTAGTGGCCGAGAGGCATATATGAGAGCTCCACGTCGTCAAATAAAGACGAAGGGGCGATGTGTGGCCGAGGGGCCTGGATAAGAGCTCCACATCGTCAAATAAAGACGACGGGGCGATGTATGGCCGAGGGGCCTGCATAAGAGCTCCACGTCGTCAAATAAAGACGACGGGGCGAGATATGGCTCAGGGGCCTATAGATGAGTTCCTCGTCATCAAATAAAGATGACAGAACGATATGTGGCCGATGGGCCTGTAGGTGAGCTCTTCGTCATCAAACAAAGATGATAGAATAATATATGGCCGATGGGCCTGTAGATGAGCTCCTCGTCATCAAATAAAGATGACAGAGCGGTATATGGCCGAGGGGCCTGCAGATGAGCTCTTCGTCATCAAATAAAGATGACAGAGCGGTATATGGCCGAGGGGCCTGTAGATGAGCTTCTCGTCATCAAATAAAGATGACAGAGCGATATATGGCCGATGGGCCTGTAGATGAGATTCTCGTCATCAAATAAAGATGACAGAGCAAGATATATGGCCGATGGGCCTGTAGATGAGATCAGGGATCCTTTAGTCTTTGAGCCGGAGACTGCAAGATGTTTGCTAGATCCGAACATGAGGGCGAGGCGTGGGACGCCTGTCTGAATATGAGGACGAGGCGCTGGGCGCCTGTCTGAATATGAGGATGAGGCGCTGGGCGCCTGTCTGCATATGAGGACGAGGCGTTGGACGCCTGTCTGAATATGAGGACGAGGCGTTGGACGCCCGTCTGATGATACGATGACGAGGCAATGCTGAGCCGGTCGTCATATAGAGGCGACGGTCGCCATCCGGGAGGGGATGGAGAGCCCGATCGCTAACCCAAGACATTCGGCAATGAGAGGCCGATCTCGGAGATAGGACATCACATCGTGGCCTAGGGGCCGATCATGATGTGAGGACGGCCGTGATAAGGAGCCGATCCAAAATAACAATGACGAGGCGATGATAAGCCGGTCGCCATGTAGGGGCGATATTCACCATCCAGGAAGGGATGGCGAGCCTGATCGCTAGCTCAACACACTCGGCGCTGATGAAGCCGGTGTTGAGATAGATCATCACGCCGAGGCCGGGGCGGCGGTCGTGATATAAGGATGGCGATAATGGGTAGCCGATCCGAATAATGATGACGAGGCAAAGATGAGCCGGTCGTCATGTAGAGGTGACGGTCACCATCCAGGAAGGGATGAGGAGCCCGATCGCTAGCTCAACACACTTGGCGCTGATAAAGCCGGTGTTGAGATAGGGCATCACGTCGAGGCCGGGGGGCCGATCGTGATGCGAGGTCGTCAGCACTATGAGGCTGAGCCAAACGTCCAAGCAACGGTCGCCATCCGATGAAGGAATGACTGAGACCGGTCTTGCGGAATATGATCATGTCGAGGCCGAGGGCCTGCCATGATCGGCACTGAGGGGCCGACCCAAAAATCCATGCAATGGTCGCCACCCAGTAAAGGAATGGCTAAGACCAGTCTTGAAATAAGGTACCGCGCCTTGGCCGAGAGGCCGGCCGCGATGCGAGGATGACGACTATGATAAGCCGGTCCAATGTATGATGACGAGGCAATGATAGGCCAATCGCCATGTAGAGGCGACGGTTGCTATCCCGGAAGGGAATAGCAAGCCCAATCGCTAGATCAAGACACTCGGCGCTGAGGGAGCCGGTCTTGAGATAAAGCATTACGTCGTGGCCGAAGGGCCCGATCGTGATGTGAGGACGAAGATGCTGAGGAGCATGTCCGAGATATGATGACGAGGCAATGATAAGGCCGATCATTATGTAGAGGCAACAGTCACCATCCAGGAAGGGACGGCGAGCCCGATTGCCAACTCAAGACGCTTGGCGATGAGAAGCCGGTCTTGAGAAGGAATAATCACACCAAGGCTGGGAGGCCGGTCGTGATGTGCGGATGGCGATGATGATGAGCCGATCCGAAGATCCAAGCAACGGTCGCCATCCGGGAAGGGATGACTAAGACCGGTCTTGGGATAAGGTATCACGCCTTAGCCGAGAGGCCGGACGCGATGTAAGGACGACGGCGATAATGAGCCGGTCCAACATATGATGACGAGGCGATGTGAAGGCCGATCGTCATATAGAGGCAACGGTCGCCATCCAGGAAGGGACGGCGAGCCCGATTGCCAACTCAAGACACTTGGCAATGAGAAGCCGGTCTTGAGGAGAAATAATCACGCCAAGGCTGGGAGGCCGGTCGTGATGTGCGGATGGCGATGAGGAGCCGATCCGGATAATGATGACGAGGCGATGATGAAGCCGATCGTCATGTAGAAGCGATAGTCGCCATCCAGGAGGGGAATGGCGAGCCCGGTCGCTAGCTCAAGACACTTGGCGCTGGGGAGGCCGGTCTTGAGATAAAGCACCACGCCGAGGCCGGGGGGCCCGGTGGTGATGAGCGGATGGCGATGATGATGAGCCGATCCGAAGATCCAAGCAACGGTCGCCATCCGGGAAGGGATGACTAAGACCGGTCTTGGGATAAGGTATCACGCCTTAGCCGAGAGGCCGGACGCGATGTAAGGACGACGGCGATAATGAGCCGGTCCAACATATGATGACGAGGCGATGTGAAGGCCGATCGTCATATAGAGGCAACGGTCGCCATCCAGGAAGGGACGGCGAGCCCGATTGCCAACTCAAGACACTTGGCAATGAGAAGCCGGTCTTGAGGAGAAATAATCACGCCAAGGCTGGGAGGCCGGTCGTGATGTGCGGATGGCGATGAGGAGCCGATCCGGATAATGATGACGAGGCGATGATGAAGCCGATCGTCATGTAGAAGCGATAGTCGCCATCCAGGAGGGGAATGGCGAGCCCGGTCGCTAGCTCAAGACACTTGGCGCTGGGGAGGCCGGTCTTGAGATAAAGCACCACGCCGAGGCCGGGGGGCCGGTGGTGATGAGCGGATGGCGATGATGAAGAGCCGATCCGGATAATGATGACGAGGCGATGATGAAGCCGATCGTCATATAAAAGTATGACGGCGTTGGGGAGGCCGTTCATGAGATGATGGAGCAAGAGCTTCGGCATTGGGAGCCGGTCTTGAGATGAATAATAAGTTTGGGGAATTTATTTATTTTTATTGCTCGAGGTCGGCAAGTGCGCGGTCCGTCGGCTTCCCTCTTTTTTTTTTTTTTTTTGGATGGCCGAAGGGTTACTGTCCCTTCGTCCATGTGCGGTATTTTGTCCGCTACGCTTTTCGCGTGTGTTAGTGCGAGGGAGTAAATACGCCCTCGGCTTGGTGTGTCAGTGGCATCCTTTTTTGCCTTTCCACGTCTATAGGCGATGAGGGACCGGACTAGGCATCGTCTTTTGACGGCCGCCCTTTGTGGTCCTGAGCGAAATTTTACTGACGGGTGGAGTTTTTGTAACCTCAGCCTTAATTCAGGCCTGTCGTCCTGCAGTTTCCGCGCGGACGACGCGGTATGCTTCTCCGTTTGAAGACGTTGGACCATGCACACAGGTCCTTCGTCCTACATATCGCCGGCCGATTTGGGTGTTTCACCGCTTGTGCCGATACGATATTTAGGTGCGTTGTTTATTGCAACGGCTTTGTAGGCGCGTTGTGGATCGCAACGGCCTTAGGTGCGTTGTGTATTGCAACGGCTTTGGGTGCGTCGTTTATTGCGACGGCTTTAGGTGCGTTGTTTATTGCAACGGCTTTGAGTGCGTTGTTTATTGCAACGGCTTTGGGTGCGTCGTTTATTGCGACGGCTTTAGGTGCGTTGTTTATTGCAACGGCTTTTGGATGACGCAATTAGCGTGTAGGGGAATGAGGTGTACCGCTTCTAGGCATAATGCCGTGTGCGGCCGTTGATGGCTCTCATTCTAGATGCCCGGGTCATCAAATAAAGATGACCATGGTAGGTCAAGGGACCCAAATATAATCGGAATCATCAAATAAAGACGTTCGGAAGGTTAAGGCTTTGGCCCGCACCAATTGGAGATTTTAATCCGCTAGCAACGGTGATAATAATAATAACGGTAGTAATTATTATTATTATTATTTTTATTATTATTATTGTTTTTCTTTTGAATAGTTAGTAAAACTATATTATTTTTTTTTTATTTGGAATAGTAGTAAAACTATTTTTTTTTTAGTGATAAAACTATTTTGCTCAATATTTAATGCATAAAATATGAGGAAAAGTTTTTGAGACTTACTTGTATTTGGGCCGAAGCCTGCCCTGCTTAGAATCCAAGCAGGGGAATATAAGATTGGACCCGCTCCTTGAAAATCCAGCCTTTGTGATCAATAGCCATGTTGTTGGCCCATTAGTCGATTTTGAGCTTTAGCCCAGCATCCTTTTATTTCAGTCGAGATCGATTGCGAGGAATACAGAGGAGACGGTGTGTCCGTCGCTTGCGATGAATACGGAGAAGACGAAGCGGCCTATCCGCCAGAAGCCATGGGGACTGAAGCCTGCTGTGATTACCGAAGAGAGGGGACGAGGTTCTCCCCGCCGGACCGCCCTGCTTTTCCGAAGAGGCTGCCTGATGCGACGCGGCAGTTAGTCGGGCAGGACTCTGGTCGGCTGGGTGGCGCCGGTGGCCGAGGCGATGTCATACGGCCAATGGATGAGACGATGTGCCGCCGGCTGACAAGTTCTGGCCGAGGCGCTGCCAGTGGCCGAGGCGATGCCAATGGGTGATGGGTGAGCCGATGAGTCCTGGCCGATGGGCGCACTGCTGTCCCACTGACCCGGTCGGATTCTGTTCCTCATTCTCTAATTCTCTAGGCCGATGGGGACTGATTTGAAGGTCCTGTATGGCCGAGGTGACCCGAAGTTCTTGATTCGGCTGAAGAGGAGCCTTGGCCGAGGTGAAGCCTTGGCCGATGAGTGACATTAATGTCTGGCCGGTGTGTTTTGGCCGAAAGTGTTGTTCTGGCCGTTGTGGTCCGGACGATGTGGTTGCTTGATGAGATGGTCCTGTTCTTACCGGTTCGGTCCGGACGATGCGGTCGCTTGACGGGGTGGCCCTGTTGTGGCCGATGCGGTGTCGGCCAATGCGGTGCCGGCCGATGCGATGCCGGACGATGCGGTGCCAGCGATGCAAATCCAGACGATGTGGTGCCCTCTCTAGCAGATGCGGTGTGCCGATGTGTTGCCGGCCGATGCGGTTGCTGGAAGAGGGCGTTGCTGGCCGACGCAGTTGCTGGCCGACGCAGTTGCTGGCCGGTGCAGTCTGGCTTATGTCGCTAGCTGATGCCGCTGACCGATGCGTGCCGGCCGATGACCATTCCGTTTGATGCGATGCGCCGATGCGGGTTCATTTGTATGGCCGATGCGGTGGCGGCCGATACGTTGCCAGGGAGTTTCCTTTGGATGAAGCGATGTCGGCCGATGGGGCGCGGAGCTCTATCTCGCTATTTCTGCCAAGTTGGAACTGGGAGCCGTGGAGTCCACAAAACTTGTGCTTTTTTTTTTTCTTTTGTTCTGGCCGAGGGAGAGCAGTGTTTCTGTTTTCAGGACGACGTGGGGCTGCTTTCATCTTTGTGTAGTTTCTTGTCCTGAAGTGAATACTGGCCGATGGGTGTGGGAGTTTCTCACCTTTGGCCGAGGAGTGTACACCACATATAGGTAGAGGTGACATGCTGCTCCATTAGGGACGAGGTGATACCACGTCTATGGCTTTTGTTGGTTGGGAGGATTTGATATATTCTAGCTCTCAATGAAAGCACCAAATGATAGATTATTTATTCTAGAGAGAAGTGAGAGCTAGAGAGATAAAGTGATGTGTAAATGAATTCCCAATCAATCATTCAACCATCCCCTACATGGCTCCCATAGGGAGTATTTATAGGAGAAAAGAGGGCTGGGCTTCCAGGCTTGGGCCTGGCTGGCCCAGTTACAATAAAAGGCCAATAAATGGCTAATAAATGGTATCTAATCTATTCTAATGGATATACATGAATAAAATAGAGTGTACAATGAGATAAATGTTATCTACTGAGCGTATGTGGGCCGCTGTCCGGGCCCAATAGTCGTGAGACCCGGGGGTCCGAGTCTATATACTCTATCACATAGTTATATATGTTAACTTGCTTTTTTGGTATAGACTTATATATAGTATGATCCATATGATGATTTATGGAAATTTGAGTTTCAAGTATAGTGATATTATTAAAATTTTATGGGTGCAGTTTAAATATTGGAAAATCAGTACCACAAGTTATGCAACTCTATTTTAGCTCAATAATCTTATTAAGAAGTTGGTGGCTTGAAATAATTAAACACATGTTACCTTTATTTAGAAACAATAACCTATAAAGTTAAATGGACTCATTGAATAAATTCATACATGAGTAGAATTCATATCCATGCTTTTGAAATGTTCTTAAGATTTATTTTTCTCAATTCAAAAAAATTAGTTTTTGGGGTTTCTTGTATAATGTTTAAGTCTTTTTTGGTATTTTAGTACCAAATCATGTGTCATTATCTCAATTTTTGGTGGCATTAAAAATTTACTCATGAATACTTTTATAATTTGAATGATTAACTCCATAATTAGTCAATAAATTTTGTGTGTCCATCTCACTTCTGCTTGTATAGTGATTAACTCCATAATAAGCTAATTAAATCCAAATTTTACTCATGAATATAATATTGCTATGAGTTTTATTGAAGTATTCTATAATATAAATATGGAATTCTGAGTTTTAGGAAGGACTCAATTTAAAATATTTTTATTTTATTTTTTCTCGGATTTGTCTGTTGTGATTGGATATAGTCTGATCTGGTCATGTCATATAATCTGAGCATTTTTAACTCTTTTTGCGAAACCGATTTACCTCATTCAACTAACAGTTCAGATGCAACATTTCAAAATTCAGCTGTAGACAATAGTCTCTAGTTCAGACAGTAGTCCTAAATTCAGACATTAGCCTCCATCTATGTACATCTCGAAGTGCCAAACATAACCCCTAATCGATGAGCCCGTTTGATAACCCCAAACACGTAGTTTTGACTTTGCGCTAAATTAAGAAATAATCAAAATAATCCAGGTTGGAGTTACTTTTCTGGCTGAACTGGCTGAAATTGATGTAAAGCTTCATTTTAGCTATTTTGATGTAATTTTTTAAATTTATTAACAAAATATATTTTAAATATTTTTTTCTCAATAATTTAACCAATGCAGCCAATTCAATCATAATTTTATAATTTGAGCACGTTTATCCAACCCAGCCTATCTGAGTTAACCCAAGCGGGCCGTATGCATCCAAATAGTGAATTGTTTTAAGCGTCCTCTAGAATTAGGGAAAATCGCACTTCTAGTCCCTTTATTAGTTAACATATTGAAATGACGAACTCGTACTTCTGAGATTGTAAATGTCAATCCCAACTTGACATATGTGTTATAAATGTCATCCTCGTTGTTCATAATCCATCTTCAATCATGGACTACCAATAAATTTATCAGGAATGACATTTTTACAACACATCTGTTAATTCGGTGATGAGCTCAATCTAAGAAACACGGCCTATAATTTTAATTCCCTAACGTATTGATGGAAAGTTGTACATGTTTTTTTGATTTCGTAATGTTCTTTAAATTTAATTTCAAATCTACAGATACCGAGAAACTTTTACATAAATAATGCGCAAAACATTATTGAGTTCTAATCGAACACGAAACAATTCCCTTAGTTCAAAATCGTGTTTTTAAAATTATCGGAAAACGATATTTAAAAATAATAAGATTTTTAAAACTGCTATACTTGTTTTAAAATAAACTGCATGTAATTTAAGTTCACTAATAAAATATAAAAAATAAAACTAATAAAATAATAGTTGTAAATAACTCTTTAAATATTCATATATGTTTAAGTCTAAAAAATTTCAGTCATATTAAAAATATTTCTATTACTCGAATAAGTATTATTTTTAATTATTAATAGGACGTTAGGATGTTTTTTGAATTACGTTGTTCAACTCCAATCTAACTTTACCAATTTCTTAGATATTTGGAATTACGTATATATGTAGGATTGCAACATGGTAGCTTCATCTTAAATTAACCTAAGGTCAATTCTAATCTAATTCAAATACTATTGTAACGTACGAAGTATAATTAATTAATGGTAACAACTCCGGTACCTTTCTAAAAACAAGGGTACCGTACCTAGCATTCATTTGATTGGACCACATCACTTTATCAATTTTAATTTAGATTTAATTAATTCAACTGCTACCTTTTCATTGGTCCATGTGGACAAAGGTATGGTACCTTATGGGTACCATAGAAACTACCTTAATTAATGTACTAAATTAGAAAGAAAATCTAAAATATTATCATGAATGTTTGCTTAGGACATCCTCATTCGTTAGATTATTTAGAGTTTAATTGGATGATGTGTAAGATTATTTTAAAGATTATCATTGTGAGTGAGGGATTATTTAGAGAGATTATTGAAAAAGATAATCCGGTATCAAGATTTGAATCCCGGATTATTTTAAGTTGTAGTTAAATTTCATTTAATGCATTGTCTAGAAAAACTAATTATTTGAATATCATGGTTGATGGAGAGTTTTAAGATTTGAGACTATTTAAAATTTATTTAATAAATGTGACGTGTCAATGACGTGTCATAGAAAAACCATTTATTTTAAGATCATGAATGGAGATGCTCTTAGAAGATGACACATGGCAAAACATTCCATAATTGTATCTTTGAAACGTATTATCTATAGATAGATGAGGAACAATCAAATTTTACGGGGAGCAGAATAGTCAACAAGCCAAGGAGGAATTTTTCTAAAATACAACAGCGAAACAATATTATCTGACATTTCTTGGATGTTGTTTTCGGCCGGTTAGTTGGGTCTTATTTACGTTTCTGTTTTTGAGAGAATTTCAACACAATGGTCAAAGATATCAAACAAGTTCAATGAATTAGTTCAGGGATAAGATGTTGTGGGCATAAGCACTATGAAGCATCAATGGAGTACATCAAAGATCGAGGTAAAATCTTTAGTTAGTGTTGAAAATCTATTCGTACAATTTCTTATCTAATACGCATGTAACTATTTTTCATGGGCAAATTTAAAAAAAAAAACCAACTCCCAAGTATCAGAAACGTTTTAAATGTGGAATATATATGTAGACCATACAAACATCATGTGCAAGAAAATTACATGTTATTCCAAATAGATTCAACAAAATAGAGGTTTTCGAGAGGTTTAAATCTCATTTTGCAGTGAAGATATAGATTTTGGTGAATAATGTCATTTTGTTTTTCTATATGATTTATTTGTATCTATATTCATCTCATATGTTATTTCCAACGTAACAATTTTTATACTCCGTATAATAAAATTTCAATCATATAGACTTGATTGGTATTATGCGGAGTCGGGGGACACAATATTTGAAGCTTCAAAATGGTGAACCGAAGCACAGAGTAAACAACACAGTATTGACTTTTGTTTATAGCAACTACGGCAATCTTATCAGTTGTTTTACATGCTTTTTTTTGCAGAAAAAATATAATCACCTGCCTACTTTGGGAAGAGACTATGGGTGAATGTTTAGCATATATGAAGAATTAAAATGATCTGTTCACCTCCTACATTGTTTTCATGCAAAAAAATGTAGATTATTATCTTCTTAAATTGAAGAACGAGTAAAGGGTCAGTTTGGTCCTTGAAGTTGCAATATTTGCCACTTTGAACTTGAATGCTGATGCTGATCTAAAAGTGGCTGAATTTATTGATATGGAGATGGGAACGTGGAATGATGAAATGTTGACAACATATTTTTCAACTAATGAGGTGAGGGCCATTAGAAATGTCCCGCTTAGCTCAAGACTCCCCCCCAGATTCCCGCGATTGGAGGGTCCTAGATGATATATTCAATATTTGCTCTCAATTTGATACTGTTAAATTTTCTCATGTAAAAAGAAAGGGAAATGTAGTAGCTCATTTGATGGCTAGATTATTTCCTAGCAATGGGATTGATCAAATTTTGTAAGGAACATCCCAGAGGGAATTTTAACTCTGGCTGAGGTTGACTTGATTTAATAAAATTCTCCTTTTAAAAAAAAAACCTAAGCTTCATGTTAGTAAAATAAAGACTTAAGGCCAAACATACAAATACGGTGTATATAATTACATTAAAAAACGACTAAGTTTTTTTTTTGAAGATTTGATTTAGGGAGTGTTTGCAACTGCTTCTGCTTAAAAAAGCACTTTTTTGAGTGATTTTTGAAAAAGTTATTAGTAGTAAAAGTTGACAGTGTTTGAGAAAAAAGTGATTTTGAAAAGTAAAAGTTGGTAGTGTTTGGTAAATAAGTGTTTTTTGTGTAATAGAAAAAGTAAAAAGCACTTTTTGCACAAAAACCGAGAAACACTTTTTTAAGTTGAAATTGTTACTTGAAAACACTAATTTTAGCTTTTTTAAGCCAAAAGTCGAGAAACCCTTTTTTTAAGCAGTTGCAAACACTCCCTTAGAACATCTCCAATGCTCTTCTTTTGATATTGTTAAAAATTTGTCACCTCATGAATTTTAAAAGAGTGATAATAATTCCGTCTCTAATGGATTTTTTTGTGAATTCTTTTATGCTGACATGGAGGAAAAGCTTTCGATCCTTCTGTTGGAATTTCCAAAGTGTGTTTAACAGCGTGAGTCAGCCATAATTAAGAACAATACATTTAATTCCAGAAAAAATAGCGTCGATATTTTAGTGTAAACAACAAATTTGTTTCTTTTTCATCTAGGTTGGAAGGAAATGCGTAGTGGGCAGTTAATGGCTGCCCATATTTTTAGCTTTTTTGTTCAACTTCTCCTTGTAACGGAAAACATTGATAAATATTTAAAAATATTAACTTTGTGCATCAGAGAACTTTTATTTAATACTTTCTATATGTAGTTGATGTGGATAGACATAGTTCTACATAATTGACATTTGACAAAATTTTGATTCTTTCAAAAGAAGAGCATGGGAGATGCTCTTAAATTCATATGAATGCAAATGCTTCGAAAACAGCATATATCGTTTGAGTCCAAAATTTCATCAATTATTGCCGTATAATAATTTTAGTGTCCAATGCAACCCATTTTTTTTAATGCTAAATACCTACATCAAATACAAGACTAGTGCCGAATTGGTAAGTTGGCCGTCTTAGCTCAGCTGGTAGAGCGCGTGGCTTTTAACCACGTGGTCGTGGGTTCGATTCCCACAGACGGCGATTAATTTTTTCCTTTTCCCATCCCATTCTCCTTGGTTTAATGTAATTTTTCTACTCCGTTATTTGAATGTTGTTGTAGGGAAGTGAGGGTTGTATCTTATTCCATTAAGCAAGCCTCCTTTAAATAGGAGAAAATTAGGGTGTACAAGAGATGGGCCAATTAGCTTAATACATATAAAAACCCTAGACATACTTTCTATCTATAACGAATGCACATTAAAGGTAATTTCCTTCAACACTCCCCCTTGTGCTGAGTTGTAGATAGAATGATACACACCAAGCTAGTTGTCGTGTAGGAACTTCGTCAAGTAACAAAAACCCTGTGGGAAAAAAATAACCTTGACAGAAAGAAAGCATTATGCGAACCGTGTCAAACTTCGTTCATTGAGTCCTTTGTTTGATCCTTACTTTGATCAACGTGTACCGTTACCTCGTTAAAAACCTTGCCAAGTAACAAAACCCAGTGGGAAAAATAAACCTTGGTTTAAGGAAAAGAGTGTAACGCGTAGGTGTAAGACTCCCCCTAAACTCTACACCTCCCCCTGATATTTACATTAATCAGGGAATTTCGGAAAGCTTTCGCATTCCTATGTTCTTTACATGTTTCTCAAAAGTGGCTTTGGGTAATGACTTGGTAAACAAGTCTGCTACGTTTTCTTCCGAGCTTATTTGATTCACTTGAATCTTGAGGAGAGTCTGTTGTTGCTGATTGTAGAAAAACTTTGGAGATATGTGTTTTGTGTTATCACCCTTGATATATCCCAACTTCATTTGTTCAATACAAGCCGCATTATCTTCATAAATGCAAGTAGGCCCTTCAGTGGTAGATTTTAAACCACTAGTTTCTCGAATATGTGTAATGATAGCTCTTAACCATATACATTCACGAACTGCTTCGTGTAGAGCGATAATCTCGGAGTGGTTCGAGGAGGTAGCCACAAGGGTTTGTTTAGTTGATCTCCAAGATATTGCCGTGTTCCCAATAGTGAAAACATAACCAGTTTGAGAGCGGCCTTTGTGAGGGTCAGAGAGATACCCAGCATCAGCAAAACCTACCAAGACATCATTTGGAGTTTCCATATAAGGGGTGATCCTTTTGTCTTTGGTATTTTCTTTAGTAACCTCAATTTCATTTGTGGTTTTCTTTGTCTCTCTGTAGGGAAAGAACAGTCCCAAGTCACTAGTTCCTTTTAGATATCGAAAAATATTTTTGATACCATTCCAGTGACGCTGCGTTGGCGCGGAGCTAAACCTAGCTAACAAGTTCACTGAGAATGCTATATCTGGTCGAGTGCACTGTGCCAAGTACAATAATGCGCCTATTGCACTTAGATAGGGAATTTCAGCTCCGAGTGCTTCTTCGTCATCTTCCTTTGGACGAAATGGATCCCTTTTAGGATCTAAACTTCGACCAACCATGGTTTCCACGTTGAAACTCATAGTGAGGATGGGATAGAATACCTATATATTACATCTAGTAAAAGCGGAAGAAAACGCATATTAGAAAAATTAATAAGTCAATCTAGTGGACTCTATGTCACTACTATTCGAATCTTCGAATCATATGCGGTCTCCAACAATGAAATGTTGGACATAGACTCATATAGGCTTTGGCATGATCGTCTTGGTCACCCCGGTCGTGACATGATGATTCGAATTCTCAAGAATTCACATGGACACCCTTTCTTTCGAGAAAGGAATAAAGAAGGGCGAAAAGTCAACACAGTACAAACTGTTAACCATGTGGCTCCTCCACCAGGACAATTATCTTCTAAAGCACAAGAAGAACTAGCCCATGCTTCCCTAACTATGTCCACACTACAAAACTCATTTTGCAAAGCCTGCTCTTTAGCAAAAATAGGATCGAGACCATCCTATGCTAAAGACACAAAACAAAACATCCCATTCTTACAAAGAATTCAAGGAGACATATGTGGACCGATCCATCCAGAATGCGGACCATTTAGATACTTTATGGTTCTGGTGGACGCATCGACCCGTTGGTCGCATGTTACCTTATTGTCCACAAGGAATGCTGCATTTGCAAAACTCCTAGCCCAAATAATTCGCTTAAGGGCTCACCACCCCGATCACCCTATAAAGTCCATCAGACTTGATAACGCTGGAGAGTTTACATCAAAAACATTTGATGATTATTGCATGTCTATCGGGATCGACATAGAGCATCCCGTTCCCCATGTACACACACAAAATGGTCTCGCAGAAGCTACTATTAAAAGATTACAAACGATAGCTAGGGCATTGGTTATGCGCACCAACTTGCCTATATCTGCATGGGGATATGCAATATTACATGCAGCCTTACTTATTCGCTTTAGGCCCACTGCGAACCAACCATTTTCTGCGTACCAGTTGGTAACTGGATATGAGCCTGACATTTCACACTTACGCATATTTGGTTCTGCAGTCTATGTGCCAATTGCGCCACCACAGCGCACCAAAATGGGTCCTCAAAGGCGATTAGGTATATACGTTGGATACGAATCCCCAACAATAATCCGCTATCTAGAACCTTTGACAGGCGATCTTTTCACCGCAAGATTTGCGGATTGTCACTTTGATGAGACAACATTCCCGTCGTTAGGGGGAGATAAGAAAAAGGATTGTTCCGAAGAACGACGTGAATTATCCTGGTGTGTTCCTACACTGCCTCATTTTGATCCCCGCACCTCACACTGTGAAAGTGAAGTGAAAAGAATAATAGACCTGCAAAATGTAGCAGACTCAATGCCTGATGCATTTTCTGATATTGCAAAAGTGACAAGATCACACATACCAGCTGCAAATGTGCCTGCAAGGTTAGAAGTCCCCAAGGGAGGGCACAGTGCCATAGTAGGAGGCACTACAACCACACTTAGTGGAGGTGTGGTTGAGGCCGTGGCTCCTCAAAGGAAGAGAGGAAGGCCACTTGGTTCGATTGATACTCGTCCAAGGAAGAAAAGGTCGAGTACGGCACAACCTAATCCAATAATCATCGATGAACAACATCCATCCCATGAGATTATCTCCGATTATAGTTATGTCCACGAATCATTACTGGAGGACGCTCCGATGATCGAGATGATTCAAGAAAACAAGGAAATCTCTATGGATTATGAAAATGCACATGTGCTAATGGAAAGATCTTCCATACACATCGATGATATATTTGCATTTACAGTTGCTCAAGAAATTATAGAGCACGATGATATCGAACCACGCTCTGTGGCAGAATGCCAACAAAGAGCTGATTGGCCTAAATGGAAAGAAGCAATCCAGGTTGAATTAGATTCCCTGACAAAAAGGCAGGTATTTGGTCCGGTAGTGCTAACCCCACCAAGTGTAAAGCCTGTAGGACATAAATGGGTATTTGTCAGAAAGCGTAATGAGAAGAATGAAGTCCTAAGGTACAAGGCTCGCCTAGTGGCGCAAGGTTTCTCACAACGCCCTGGGATTGACTACGAGGAGACCTACTCTCCCGTAATGGACGTTATCACGTTCCGATACCTAGTCAGCTTAGCAGTTTCTGAAGGATTGGAAATGCAATTGATGGATGTGGTTACTGCATATCTCTATGGGGATCTTGATTCAGAGATATATATGAAAGTACCCGACGGACTTTCACTACCTAAATCAAGTGACTCTAAACCACGGAGTGCGTTTGCAATAAAACTGAAACGCACACTTTACGGATTAAAGCAATCCGGGCGGATGTGGTATACCCGCCTAAGTGACTACTTGATTAGGAAGGGATACAAGAACGATGAGCTTTGCCCCTGCGTATTCATAAAGAAAACGAGTTCCGGATTTGCAATCATAGCAGTATATGTCGACGACATGAACATAATTGGCACTCTTGACGAAATAAGAGAAACCGCAAGCTATTTGAAATCCGAGTTTGAGATGAAAGACCTTGGGAAAACTCGATTTTGTCTAGGTCTTGAATTAGAACATCGAGTTTGTGGAGTATTAATCCACCAGTCTGCGTATATCTTTAAAACTTAATAAAGTTCGAGTAGCTCTGGGTGCATATAGAGCGTCTGTGACGTGGAATGTGGTACCGTTAGGTAGCATAAATTTGGCGGTGCCTCGCCCTTGTATTACGTTCGATGATCCAATCATCGTAGTCACAGAGGATTTATAGGCTACTAATTGAATAAAAAGTTGCCTGTGTCTAAGGATAGTGTGGGTTGTCCCACTATCGACTAAACATTCGAGTTCGCCTCGAGTCATTCCTGTGTAAACATGCATTAGATAATTGTGGGTATATATTTGGATTTCAAAAATTGAATCCAATTATTAAAATAACGATAAGCATGTAATGTCCATAAGCAGAAAATGAAAGGGAATGAAAGAAAAAAACATAGAGTTTGTTTAAATGACTAGTGGGATGGGGGAAAATTAATCAAAGTCCGGTGCATCGACTGAATGGGTGGTGTTATTTTTAACACCAAAATCCGCCACTGTGAGGTTAACATCAACCTCATTTCCTTCGTCTGTCACAAACTGAGATTCATGTTCCTTTGATTCTCTGTATTTCTTGTAGGCAGCAGCAACTCTATTACTGGCATGGCAATTCTTAAACCAATGACCAGAAACTCCGCATCTGAAGCATGGCTCTTCCCCAACTCGGTCTCGTTTGGCTGGAGGTTTTGCCGGTGCACTATGGGCCTTGTTGGTTTGACCACTGGTCCCGACACTTGTATCTCTCTTCCACACATGGGAAGATCCTCCACGGCCCGTACCTCGGCCTCCACGCCCGCCGCGATTGTTGCGCCCCCTTCCACGAGTACGGCCCTCTCCTCTTCCACCGGGGTGCTTTCCAGTGTTTGCTTTGCCATAGTTGACCTCGGGAATTTTCTTTGTCCCAACTGGTCTGGCATTGTTATTCAAGAGAACTTGATTTTGTCTTTCAGCAACTTGGAGCAAATTAATTAACTGATTAAATGTGGTTATTCTTTTGTTATTATGCTCCAACCTATACTGGTTCGCTAGTATAAGTGCTGAGGTTGGGAAAGTGGAGAGGGTCTTATCAATCATTTCATCTTCTGTGATTGGTTTACCACAGAAATTAAGGCGTGCTTTGAGGCGTAACATGTCCTTATTAAAGTCGTTGATCTTTTTGTAGTCAACTAAGCGGATTTCATTCCACTGCACTGTTAGTTCGGGGAGCAATGTGCCATGTATGTTCCCAAAACGACCTTTTAGTGCGTCCCACAGTTCTTTGGGGGTTTTCAATTGTAAGTATTCCCAGCGTAAGCTAGGATCAATATGGCGTCTAAGGAACATTAACGCAGCAGCCTTTATTTTTTCAGACGGTGCATTGTCTTTTAAACTTTCAGGGTCGGCAAGCGTGGCGGAATAGTCTTTAGCCACAAATGTGGTTTCTATGTCAGAAACCCAGCGATGGTACTCAAGTCCTTCTGAGTCCAGGATGTCGAACTCGGGTCGAGTTGGATCAGTCATCTTTAAAATATAAAATTGTATGAGTTTCATTCACTAATGTACCATATATCGCTTAAAAAAAAGAAAAAAAATGCGATTCTTTGTGTGAAAATTCTTTATCACATAAAAAAAATGACATGGGATATGTCTCTATGTAGACAATATTTTGTAATGCATCGAAGAGAGGAGATATATTCATCTCCTTAAAAAAATAGAGATTTTTGTAAAAACTATTAATATTGGTCTAATGAATGGAGTAGGCATATCTCAAAACCGAATTTAATAATTCTTTTAGTAAAATATATTGTCAAATTATTGAAAAAAATTTGCCATATATTTTAATTATATATAAAAAAAATGGAGTTAAAAATGAATTTAATTGTCGTTTTTTTTTTCGAATTTAAATAAATGGAGCTAAATTTCGAATTAAAATTTTTGTTGTGTAAAAACGAATTTAATAATGTATTAGTAACCTAGTGTGCAAATATCTTAAAAACATTGTGTTGTACGTATGTTGATTACCAAAAAAAAAAATTGTAGTTTTTTTTTCGTTTTTTTTTTCGGGAATGAGATTGAATTTTATAAAAAAATGAAAATATGTAAAATTTCTTCATATTTCGTTAAAAAAATAATTTAATTGGTGTGAACACATGGCAGGTAATATTTGTTGTGAACTATGGTAAACGTGAACTGTGAAAAAAAGGCAGGCACATGAATCATACATACACACGTATCTAAATGTGCATCTAAAAATGGAATATTAAGATCAAGACTTGTCATATATATACTTATCTAAAGTTGACGGTTTTCTAAATAGAGTGAAAAAAAAATCGGTTTCATTATTTAGTATTATGATATATTTAGAAAGATATAATAGATTTGATAAAAAGAATTTTTGAAAGAAAAATTCACACTTGTCATTTTTAAAGTCTTGCCATATTTGTTAATATATTCTTTGTATACTAAACATACGTATATGGAAAGAAATGTATTAATATATAGAGGTACATATATTAGTACGTAATATGTAATATATATTAGGTAATATATATTATATTATTATTAGTAACATATACGTAATATATATTAGGTAGTATATATATATTATTATAAATATATTTGATCGTGTACTTATATTAGTACATATAGATGATATATATTAAGAAATATTAAATTGAGAAGTCTCGATTTCATGTTCTAATATGTTGATTAATGAAGTAATCTTATGTGATTATGGTTCCAACTATATGTAAGTGACATATAGCATTACGGAAAAAAAATGATCACATAAGATGTAAAAACATAATATGATCTTAATTCATACTATATGTGTCTAGCATATTGCTTTACGGAAAGTATAATCATATAAAATGTATAAAAATAAGATTAATCGTGTGATTTTTGATTCCAACTATATGTATATGGCATATAGCTTTACGGAAAAGTAAAATCACATGGATGTATAAAAACCAAGAGGGATGCATTGATTCCAACTATATGATTATAACATATAGCATTACGGAAAAATATTGCATCTATCTCTAAAAAAAAATGGATGATACGACTTAATCTAGAAAAAATCAATGATGTTCATCACAATAGTAAACATGATGTAATAAATCATATGCATAAGGTTCTACAATGATTTTGAGTAAAGCAAATACCTCAAAAGAGATCCGAGAATCGGTGAGTCGCAGGCTAGGAAGGGGGGGAGGCCGCGGCTAGACCGTTGGCGGCGTGGCTGGACTGCTGGCGGCGCGGCTGCGGATTGAGTGTAGGGAGAATGGGAGAAAAAAAAATAGGTTTAGTGCTACGTGCTGATAACGTGTTGTAGGGAAGTGAGGGTTGTATCTTATTCCATTAAGCAAGCCTCCTTTAAATAGGAGAAAATTAGGGTGTACAAGAGATGGGCCAATGGGCCAATTAGCTTAATACATATAAAAACCTTAGACATACTTTCTATCTATAACGAATGCACATTAAAGGTAATTTCCTTCAACAAATGTAGATTACTCTTGCTATTTTTATTAGTTGTAGTCGGGCAGGCATTTTCACCAGTCGACATTTTATTTGGATTTTTAGTTCGTTTTTTTTTTGAGAAGAATAGAGGATCCTCCTTCAGACTTTTTTAAATACAAAAACACCTTTGAAATTCCTAAACCGAATGGCCTTTGTTGCTTTAAAGAACTTTCTTACACTAGCATTTGAAGGCCTGAGTGGCCTTGATGGTTGAAGACTGAAGTTTAGTTAATTTTTAATTGAAAAAATTGATAAGAATAATTCCACCTTTCACTTATCTTCTCATAATAATCTCACCTTTATACAATTCCAGAATAATCTCACCTTTGCACCCCATCTTCTAGCATTGGACCCTTTTTTTTGAGAATCTTATATAAATAATCTCACCTTTGTAGATCATCAATAGGCCAGGGTCCAATGAAAGAAGATGAGGTGCAAAGGTGAGATTATTCTTGGATTACGTAAAGGTGAGATTATTAGGAGAAGATCAATGAAAGGTGAGATTATTCTTGTCAATTTTTTCATTTTAATTTTTATGTAAAGAATTTCGGTTTGACCGATTTTTCGTAAGTCGATCCGAAAATTGAAGAGAGAATTCCCTAAATAGGAGTAAAAACGTTTTAAAATTTCAAAATAGGAGTATCATGTTTTTTATTCCTTAAATAGGAATAAATTTCTGCCAAGTTTGGGATTACAAGCCTTTAAACATGGCATTTTTTTTCAAACTTGGCAAATTACTCCTATTTAGGGAATAAAAAACATGATACTCCTATTTTGGAATTTTAAAACGTTTTTACTAGGTAATTTCTGAAAATTGAATTGGTTCCAATAAATTGGTACATCTTTCACTCGCGGTCCAGTGCTGGTTGTAATATTTTGGGCAATTGAAAAGACAGTTCGATTCATGAACACGCGCTATTGGTTTGAGTAGGGGTGGGATCGGTCCGGTCTGGGTCGGGTTTTTGCTAAACCCGGAAATTACCCGGAAGGTCTCGGGTTATGAAAATTAGGGACCGGAACAAAGCCCATTATATTCGGTCCGAGTCGGGTTTTTGGTAGCTCGGGTTCGGTCCGGGTTCGGGTTGGACCGGTTAAAGCCCGGCCGTGAAATATGTCATTGTTTTATATTTTAACACGTATTTTCAAATAAAATTAATCAAAAATACAAACCGCAAATAATAACACAAATTTTAGTCTCCAAAATCACCAACAATTCAAATTTAAAGAAGATAATTATCTTAATATTTTATGTAAGATGTATATATATAAATAATATAGGTTTCTTAAAAATATTTCGAAATAAATTTTATACATAAAAAAGTTACTAGAGTTGCTATAAATATATTCTCATGGTCATTATTACGCTAAACAAATTCAACATATTTGTAGTCACTAAAAGTTACTAAATCTTTTTTTATCCACCGTGATTATAATCATATATTAGGAAATATTATATTTATATTCATATACTATATTAATTTTATATTAAAAGTAATTGTTTCGGGTTTTTTCGGTCCGGGCCGGGTTATAGATTTTAAGGCCCGTTAATGAGCCCGGAATTTTCGGTTCGGTCCGGGTTTTTTTAAATTCGGGACGGTTAAAAAGAAAAAACCCAGACCGGGATCATAATTCGGGTCGGTCCAGGGTCGGTTTCCGGGTTTCGGTTCGGTTTTTCCCACCCCTAGGTTTGAGACCCAAATGGAAACAATCCAACTCTAAATATGAAAGAATGACACATACTACCCTGGTTCCTTTTTCATCAGTAACTTTTGAATTTTACAGATGATAAATTTTAGAATAAGTTGCCTGTTGGGTTAAGGGCCCAAGCCGAGGTCCGGCCCACTAACCCATTTTGCCAGACGAACGTCCAGCTAGAAACCAGGCCAGCCCACAGGCCCATGTCTCTTGAGGATGGACGAACGTCTGGTGTTGGAGGACTCAGGCCCAGCAGCTCATTCCGACGAACGTCTGTGCAGAGACAAAGAGCAGAACCACGGGCGAGCGGGGATGGCGACGAACGTCCCCGGAGCAAGCCTGTGGTCATCGGGGAAAACCCAGTGCACATGGTGAGTATCTATTAAGGCCAGGCGACGAACAGCCGATATCCCTCAAGGGTCACTTGGAGCAATCAAACTCACTTCCGGGGTGGACGAACGTCCCCACTGATCCGGCGGGAAACCTAGATTCTGGCGGGAAGTGCATTTAATGCTAAAGATTTGGTAGTTGGGACACCAGCGGTCCACAGGCTGCCACGTCAGTACAGCCACCTGCCCATTGGCGGGTATAAATAGAAGCATTTATTTCATTGTAAAGGGTGGGCAACTTTCTATTCTTAGCATACTAGCTCCAGCATTCTTACGAGTAGCATTTCTATCGCCTTGTAAGACGAACGGCCGACGTGCCCTTTTTAGCAAGTAGATTGTACTTAGGGGAGTTATTACGAAGTTAATAATACCTATTTACATTGCCTGCTATTACTCTTGTTTCCTGACTCATCTGATAGTTGTTGGGCTAGATAACCACACACTCACTCCACTCGAAATCTTTGGGCTTACGTGTTGGGTCCAAGGGTTGAAGGAATAAACCTCAACACTGGCGCCGTCTGTGGGAAACTGAGCAAAAAGTTTCCAGAAACTCTCCCAAACAGCTACTAAATCTACCCACAGCAAATACGATGTCAGGAAGCAACACCCAGCGTGATCTCTCCGAGCGTCTGGAGTCGAGCCGCCGGAATCGCGGCCAGAACTCGGAATTATCCGCGACAATATGGACTTCAGGGGGAAACGGGGGTATCACTGACCTCATTCCTCTGGAGGCCAGGCAGGATCCCCGCCTCATGCGTGAACTCGCAGACACCATGCGTCGCATGGCGGACGAGCGGGAGGCCCGAGAGCAGGTGTACTCTGCAAGCACTCAGCGAACGCCCCTCTCTCCCATACGCCGCATGCAGTCGTACGATGATACGACGGGATCCAGTGACCACCGGCCCTCAGTCCACGAGCGGCTAGGTGGGGGTTCAGGCTCCCGTGAAACGGGAGGGAGGACCAGGGTCAGCATCGCTGCATCCAGGGCTCTCACACCATCGGTTCCTCGCCAGATTCCGCGGGGAGACGAGACCCCAAGGGTCAACACCGTCGGACGACGTTTCCAGCGGCGAGGTGCACAGATCTTCAGGCGGCCGCACGATGTTGTGGCCGCTCAGCAGAACGCCGTCCCCGAAGCCGCGCCCCCTGTGTCCCCCGGAAGGGCCGCACAGGACGCACGGCTGGAAGCCATGGAGAGGCAGATAGCCGAGATGAATAGGCGGGCGGACGTCGGCTCGGCCACACCCTCCTTCTCTCTCACATCACCTTTTACTCCACGGGTGATGAGCGTCGAGATTCCCCGGGATTGCAGGCCCCCGGGCAACTTGGTGTACAATGGGGCTGGCGATCCCAAGGCCCATCTGATAAGCTACCAAGGGAACCTGTCCATGCTGGGAGCATCAGACGAGGCCATCTGCAGATTGTTCTTCAGCACCCTCAGGGGGCCGGCGCAAGAATGGTTCGGCCAGCTGAGGCCAGGCACCATCGACTCATATGAACAGCTCTCCCAGCAGTTCATGGCGCAGTTTGCTGCCAGCACCACCCCCAGGAAGGACGTCACGGCTCTCGCCCACATCAAACAAGGGCGGGACGAACCGCTGGCTAGGTTCCTGGTAAGGTGGAGGGACGAGGTCCTGCAGGTCGACGATCTGGACGAACGTCTGGCCGCCAACATGTTCACCAGTGCGCTGGCCACAGGGGATCTATACCGGGACCTAAGGAGGAATCCCGGCACCAGCTACACCGAGGTTCTTGCTCGGGCCCAGAAGTATGCCTCCATTGAGGAGGAGATCAGGCAGCGGGACGGAATTCCCGCGGCCCAGCCACGGAAGATGGCAGACAGACTCGGACCCGGACCAGGAACCAATCCCTCCCCCCCAAACAAAAAGAAGAAGGTGGACGGGGCAATGGTCCCTTGGAAGGCTCCGTCCGGAGACAGCCAAGCGCGGCCGGACGACCGTTATTTTCCCTTGGCCTACCCAGTGAGCCAGATCTTCGAGGCCATTAAGGACAAGGGCCTCCTTATGGAGCCCAAAGATATGAAGAGGTATATGGGGCACGACCAATCGGCCTACTGTGAATACCATCAGAGGACCGGCCACCTGACGGATAATTGCAGCCAATTAAAGAAAGCGATCGACGAGCTGATCCGTCAGGGGTACCTGGGCGAGTTCGCCCAGCTGCTGAACAAAAACAGCCAGCAGAAGCCGAACTCAAGGCACAAGACATGGCGCCGCGACGATCGGCGCGAGGCAGAACCTCAGGACGTGGATTATCGAAGTGCAGATAAACGTCCGGAGGGATCCCTCGGCCCGAAGGGCGAGAAAAAGAAGTTGGAGATCAAGGTGATATTCGGGGGCGCTGAGACAGGGGATACACCCGCCGAGCGGAAAAAATTTGAGAGATCACTCTATGTGGGTTCCGTATCGGCACCCCCCACCAAGCGCAATAGAGTCGAGGCAATTACCTTCGGCTCCGCCGACCTGCCAATGTCACCGGCGCCGCACAGAGACGAGCTGGTGATCAGCATGGACGTGAACGATGCTATCGTCCGTCGCGTCCTCGTTGATACCGGGAGCAGTGTGAACGTCCTCTACTGGGAGGCTTTCGAAGGAATGAGGCTCCGGAAGGACATGCTGCACCCCCTACGCACCCCGCTGTCCGGTTTCACCGGGGATTGCATTGACGCTGAGGGCACCATCATTTTGCCGGTAGAGGTCGGCGACGGCCC